GACTGACAAAAATGAGCTCCTGAAACTTACTGCCAGATTCTGGAAGATCAATTCTTCAAACAGTGGAACAAGAGGATGTGCTGCTGGTCCTTCAAGAGTCACTCTCAACTTATCTGTCCATAAAGCCTAGAAAAATAGCCTTCATGTATTTCACAACACTTCAGCATGTTATTCTTATTAAGTAGGGGTCATCCGTCATGCACGGATCTAATATAGGCTACTGATAAAATGATCCTTCCTAATACGAGCTGACATGTGACTCAGTGACTTACAGGAGTATTTTCTTTTTACCTTTGCAACGGCATCATTTTCATCTGTCAAATTAAAACATTTATGTTTATAAGCTTTTTAAAATTTCTATTTAAAACTATATAATAAGAAGTAGAATAAGACAAATAAGTTACCAATCATGAAATTAGTAAATTAATAAATTAATTTGTACAGAGGTGGCACAGAAGAACACAAAAGTGGCTTGTAGGTACATTTTCAGACGTTTAATGAGGCTCAGAGGTGGCATGAGTGCAATTAAATTCATAAATTAAGTCTGTCTTGCAGAGACTGACAAAAATGAGCTCCTGAAACTTACTGCCAGATTCTGGAAGATCAATTCTTCAAACAGTGGAACAAGAGGATGTGCTGCTGGTCCTTCAAGAGTCACTCTCAACTTATCTGTCCATAAAGCCTAGAAAAATAGCCTTCATGTATTTCACAACACTTCAGCATGTTATTCTTATTAAGTAGGGGTCATCCGTCATGCACGGATCTAATAGAGGCTACTGATAAAATGATCCTTCCTAATACGAGCTGACATGTGACTCAGTGACTTACAGGAGTATTTTCTTTTTACCTTTGCAACGGCATCATTTTCATCTGTCAAATTAAAACATTTATGTTTATAAGCTTTTTAAAATTTCTATTTAAAACTATATAATAAGAATTAGAATGAGACAAATAAGTTACCAATCATATGAAATTAGAATTAATAAATTAATTTGTACAGAGGTGGCACAGAAGAACACAAAAGTGGCTTGAAGGTACATTTCCAGGCCTTGAATCCATGTGTCTGAAATTCATGGGAACCCTGTTATAATAACGGTCATTGTCAAAGTCAATCACTTGCGTCAGCATACTGGCAGTAAAACCCAGCTTCGGACGTCATGGATCACTAGTTTCTCCTCTGAAGAAAATGCTGGCTAGTCATTAGCATGAGCCACTACAGCTTCTCTGCTGGTTTAGCCTTCAATAACACATTAACAAGGTTTTGCAAATCAAGACAAAACCAGGTTAGGTTTCACAGTCACGTCGAACAACCGGAGTCATGAAAGTTTCTGAAAAGAAAGTTGTTTTTTTAATAAGTAAAAAATTGAAAAGATTTTGTTGAAAGACATGGCGTCAAAACATGAAAAAATCATTCAAACATCGGTTAATGCAAAATCCCCATAATGCACCACACGGAGTAAACACGCATCGATGTGCAGGGGATTGTGGGTATCTCCTCCAGTGGCTGTGCTCAGTAACACATGCTACAGCATGACGCTCAGATGCTTCCATGCTTTTATCGCTTCACAAACCGTCCAAACCAACGAGTCAACTAATGATTACAAATATACTTCAGTAAAAGTGTAAAAATAGAGGATCTTGAGAAGATCAGAACTGGAGGAGCTGCACATCTCAATCAAACACGATTCATCTCTTTGTCCTGATACTCACTATACACTGCAACAAATATGTTCTTCCTTAGGGTTTTTGTCTTGTTTTCTAGTATAAATATCTACAAATTCTTGAATCAGGATGCATTTACTTGCGTAAAATTACTTACATTTTTTCCAGAATCAAGACACATCCAAATTTAGTTAGTTTTGACTTAAAACCAGCAGAAGTATCTGCCAATGGGGTAAGAAAAATAATCTTGTTTAGCCTTTGAATTAAGATTATTTTTCTTACTCCACTTTTCCTAGTTCCAAGCAAAAACTAACAAAATTTGGATAATATTTTCAGAAAACAAGACATCATATCTTATCTATCTATATCTATAGCGCTGTCAAACGATTAATGGCATCCAAAATAAAAGTGTGTACTGTGTATATTTATTATGTATGTATAAATGCACACACATACAATATATATTTTGAAAATATTAACATGTATATATGTATATTCATATAATTTATATTATAAATATGTTTAATATAAACAGCATATTTCTCTGAAATTATACATGCGTGAGTGTGTATTAATATATACATAAATATACTGATCTGTGTCCCTGCAGCACAAAAGCAGTGTTAAGTCGCTGGGGTATATTTGTAGCAATAGCCAACAATACATTGTATGGGTCAAAATTATACATTTCAAAATAATTTTGTGAATGACTTTTTATTGTAAACCCCATGTTTTCATCTTTGATTTAGAGGAACGCAGCTGCTCAAAGCGTCAATATTTTGAAAATATTTAATGAACATTTTAAACCTTGTACATGCGCAAATCTGCCAAAAAAATTGTACTTTCTACTTGCTTTTAAACTGTAAACGCTTTTTACACACAAGCTGTTTTTCCATTTTTTCAAGTTCTACATGTTCTCCTCAGCTCCACGTCGCAGTAAGTTTTGGGAGCTGATTTTTAGTCCGTCTCCTATCCTGAAAAGTCTGTCTTGCAGAGACTGACAAAAATGAGCTCCTGAAACTTACTGCCAGATTCTGGAAGATCAATTCTTCAAACAGTGGAACAAGAGGATGTGCTGCTGGTCCTTCAAGAGTCACTCTCAACTTATCTGTCCATAAAGCCTAGAAAAATAGCCTTCATGTATTTCACAACACTTCAGCATGTTATTCTTATTAAGTAGGGGTCATCCGTCATGCACGGATCTAATAGAGGCTACTGATAAAATGATCCTTCCTAATACGAGCTGACATGTGACTCAGTGACTTACAGGAGTATTTTCTTTTTACCTTTGCAACGGCATCATTTTCATCTGTCAAATTAAAACATTTATGTTTATAAGCTTTTTAAAATTTCTATTTAAAACTATATAATAAGAATTAGAATGAGACAAATAAGTTACCAATCATATGAAATTAGAATTAATAAATTAATTTGTACAGAGGTGGCACAGAAGAACACAAAAGTGGCTTGAAGGTACATTTCCAGGCCTTGAATCCATGTGTCTGAAATTCATGGGAACCCTGTTATAATAACGGTCATTGTCAAAGTCAATCACTTGCGTCAGCATACTGGCAGTAAAACCCAGCTTCGGACGTCATGGATCACTAGTTTCTCCTCTGAAGAAAATGCTGGCTAGTCATTAGCATGAGCCACTACAGCTTCTCTGCTGGTTTAGCCTTCAATAACACATTAACAAGGTTTTGCAAATCAAGACAAAACCAGGTTAGGTTTCACAGTCACGTCGAACAACCGGAGTCATGAAAGTTTCTGAAAAGAAAGTTGTTTTTTTAATAAGTAAAAAATTGAAAAGATTTTGTTGAAAGACATGGCGTCAAAACATGAAAAAATCATTCAAACATCGGTTAATGCAAAATCCCCATAATGCACCACACGGAGTAAACACGCATCGATGTGCAGGGGATTGTGGGTATCTCCTCCAGTGGCTGTGCTCAGTAACACATGCTACAGCATGACGCTCAGATGCTTCCATGCTTTTATCGCTTCACAAACCGTCCAAACCAACGAGTCAACTAATGATTACAAATATACTTCAGTAAAAGTGTAAAAATAGAGGATCTTGAGAAGATCAGAACTGGAGGAGCTGCACATCTCAATCAAACACGATTCATCTCTTTGTCCTGATACTCACTATACACTGCAACAAATATGTTCTTCCTTAGGGTTTTTGTCTTGTTTTCTAGTATAAATATCTACAAATTCTTGAATCAGGATGCATTTACTTGCGTAAAATTACTTACATTTTTTCCAGAATCAAGACACATCCAAATTTAGTTAGTTTTGACTTAAAACCAGCAGAAGTATCTGCCAATGGGGTAAGAAAAATAATCTTGTTTAGCCTTTGAATTAAGATTATTTTTCTTACTCCACTTTTCCTAGTTCCAAGCAAAAACTAACAAAATTTGGATAATATTTTCAGAAAACAAGACATCATATCTTATCTATCTATATCTATAGCGCTGTCAAACGATTAATGGCATCCAAAATAAAAGTGTGTACTGTGTATATTTATTATGTATGTATAAATGCACACACATACAATATATATTTTGAAAATATTAACATGTATATATGTATATTCATATAATTTATATTATAAATATGTTTAATATAAACAGCATATTTCTCTGAAATTATACATGCGTGAGTGTGTATTAATATATACATAAATATACTGATCTGTGTCCCTGCAGCACAAAAGCAGTGTTAAGTCGCTGGGGTATATTTGTAGCAATAGCCAACAATACATTGTATGGGTCAAAATTATACATTTCTCTTTTATGCCAAAAATCATTAGGATATTAAGTAAAGATCATGTTCCATGAAGATATTTTGTAAGTTTCCTACCGTAAATATATCAAAACTTAATTTTTGATTAGTAATATGCATTGCTAAGAACTTCATTTGAACAACTTTAAAGATGATTTTCTCAATATTTAGATTTTTTTGCACCCTCAGATTCCAGATTTTCAAATAGTTGTATCTCAGCCAAATATTGTCCTATCCTAACAAACCATACATCAATGGAAAGATTATTTATTCAGCTTTCAGATGATGCATAAATCTCAATTTCAGAAAACTGACCCTTATGACTGGTTTTGTGGCTCCAGGGTCATATTTTGGATGCGATTAATCGTTTGATAGCACTAATCTCAAGTCACTTTACTTGTATAAATATCTACTAATTCTGGAATTAAGCAGCATTTACTTGACTAGAAAACAAGACAAAAACACTAAGAAAATCTTTTTTTCCCAGTGTAATCCACGTGTTTGTAACTTCTCCTGAATACAGGCTTAAATAAAAGAGTGTGACAAAGTTATATGGACTTTTTTTTATTATTTGAGTAAGAAAATTTTAAGTGGCCACATCAAACCCAGCGAAGAGTCTCTGGAGTATTTACATCACAAACGCAGCTGGATCTCTACTGATTTGAGTTGGGTCCGCAGCGGAAGGCGGGTTTGGGTCGTCTGGCCTACGGTTTAAATATTTAAAATATTTACAGTCCGGCAGAGCAGAAGCTCCATGATCCTGTTCGCCTGCTGCCGGTCGATGGGAGCGATCTCCGGCGTCCAATCGATCCACGCCACTCGCTAAAAACACGCATTCCTCTTACAATAACTTCTATGATTCGCTCATCAAAAAATAGACTCAAGATCAGCAAACGAGGAGAGAACGTCGCCTCCCCCTCCAGACATGTTTGCGTTTCCATGAAGAAGAATGAAACGGATGAATAAATACAAACACCGCAGACACAGGATCAGACGGAGGTGATGACGATCATGAGGTGCGGAGAGATGCTGGAGATCTGGCTGAGGAGGTCCGGAGCCAGGCGCGACAGGTGGCTCTCGGAGAACTCACACGGAGGGAAGATCTGCAGCACGTACGCAGGCTGTGTGGAGGGAAAAGAGCCCAGAACAGGGTTCGTACAGGAACTGCTACATGACATTCAAAGGACTTTTCAAGCACAAAACTAAATGCTACAAATACAGCACATGTGGCAACTTCAACATTTGAAAGGATACTATGACAAAGCTATCGCTTTCCTTATTCAAAGTGATTTTTTTCATGAATAACCTGAAGAGTAAAAGCTTTTGGAAAATTATGAGCTATATCACGTTCATACACTTAGCTCACGACATGAGACCAAATACAGATGTACTTGGTTCACTAGAACGAGACAATATTTGAATAATATTTTTAAGAAATTTTCAATGACAAAATATTTGTCTTTTAAAATCACACAAATCAGAACAACGCAGTTGTATTTTGAAATATCTTAACTAATGCAGACCGTAACTAACAATTATTCTGGTAATCAAGTACTGATTATTTTGACAAGCGAGTAATCTGATATTTTTTAGTAATACAAATAGAACTAAGTGGAAAAACAGGCTTTAATATGACTATATTTAATATATATATATATATATATATTAAACTAACGATGAGACAGTAATAATAATTGGTTCGAATAAAGTAACAAAACCAAGTAATCACATGCTTTTGTTGAACAACACTGTTAAAATACCTGAAGTAATGTGCATATACATGATATGAACATAACCCACTTAAGTATTATAACAGATACCTGCAGAGGGCGCTAACGGCCTGGCGACGTTTCACTTCACAGCGTGATTCAACAACGTTTAAATCCATTTAATTTTAATATTTGGTCACGTGCAAACTCAGAGCGAGGGTTTGAGCTTTTACTTTGAAATCGTGATGTACAACAAATCTTGCATATAGAAATATTCTCCTGTGTTGGCATGGGTTTCTAAATGATTTACGTTATAAATCTAGGGAGATAACGCGCACTGTTTTCCCAGATGAACGTTAAGCAACCCAAACTCACAGCACATGCAGAGGAGGAGTTTGTGGACTGAGCTGCACGCTTGTAAATGATAACAGCGCAACACAAAGCGCCTCAGACTTCATACGCGTTCCCAAATGAAACCCAAACGAACAGCACATGCAATAAAAGACCGAACAATATAATGCAAGCACTATCAAAGGTTTTACCACAAAATCAACTTTATACTGATATCGCCAGACCGCTTTTCAGCTCAAGGAGTAATATCGCGAGATATCAGACGTGCTACATTGTTACTTTTGCGAGAATTTTTTTTTTAATCTAAAACAATAATTAACACTACTTTCATATATACTGCCTTTCAAGTACTTATTAAGTACCTTTTCCTAAACATGTATGTTTTCAAGGGTTTTCCAGGGCTTATATTTCAGAAAGTCAAATTCAAGTACTTCCCGCTTGTGCGAAGACTGTGAGAGCGAGCGTGTGTTGCGTGACGAGCGCTCACCTGGTTGGAGCCGGGGTTGGGGACGTTGATGATGCCGGCCGCTAGTTTGGCCTGCAGGTAATTGATGAAGGCGGATTTGAGCGCCTGCGTCTGGTTCAACACGTCCTCCTGGTCCAGACCACAAGGCATGGCCAGCAACAGGCAGAAATCACTTTCCCCCTGAAAACACAGCATTTTCAGCCCAATAGGGTGAACACGGCTTCACGGCAAACGGAGATGCTCGTGAAAAATTGTTTACAATACTCAAAACCAGTTTCCATCAAAAGGTATAACACATTTAATGCAGTATTTTTAAAGGAATGAAAATGTGCTCACTCTCAAGCCAACTAAGATGTAGCCGAGTTTGTTTCTTCGTCAGATTTGGAGAAATGTAGCGTTGCATCACTTGCTCTGCAGTGAATGGGTGCCGTCAGAATGAGAGTCCAAACAGCTAATTAAAACATCACAATAATCCACAGCACTCCAGTCCATCAGTTAACATCTGGAGAAGACGCAAGCTGAAACAAATCCTATCAAAATCCAGCCACATATGTGTTTAGAGCTGTTTAAACGCTGCTTGATCTGTGCAGATTTCTCTCCTGATTCAGACCAGAACACTTTTTCACTGGAGGAAGCGTTATTATGGATTATGGACTCTATGGTATTTGAGTTAAAAACGTCTTAATGCTGGATGTGTTTCAGCTTTTGTCTTCTCCAGATGTTAACTGATGGACTGGAGTGCTGTGGATTACTTGTGGATTATTGTGATGTTTTTATCAGCTGTTTGGACTCTCATTCTGACGGCACCCATTCACTGCAGAGCATCCATTGCTGAGACACTGATGCAATGCTGCATTTCTACAAATCTGATGAAGAAACAAACTCATCCTGATCTGGGATGGCCTAAGGGTGAATAAATTGTAGCAATATTTTTTATTATTTTTTGGGATGCGCGATCCCTTTAAACCCATTAAGCGAATGCTCCAATATCCCGTACCGTCATTCTGCGAGCGACTCCCTCCAGCTGCTGGGCCTCCAGCCTCATCCTCTGAACGATGCGCAGAATCCCTCCACTCTCCGGCAGAGGCAAAGAGCGCAGGCCCAGAGCTTTGTTTCCACATAAGAAGTGCAGCTGAACCGCTGCCGTGTCGTTCTTCAGCGCCAGCAGGCCTTGCCACACAATAGGGTATTTCTGTATGAACAGAGTTTATCAAACACAAAGTCTTCAGGTTCCGATCTACTTCTGCATTCCCAATGCACACAGACGGTAGGAAATTAAGTGTTGTGTGGCTACATGTCCGTTTGTGGTTAGTGGAACACGTTCATGCGTTAATGTTGTGTTACTACAACTTCCAGATATAAAGTGTCTAAATATTTCACATGGTCACTGTGCAGGGTTCAACAATAAAGCCAGTGAGTTTCAATAGATCTTCCCGCAAAGCTGCTTTGAAAATGTGCATTGCGAGAAGCTCTATACAAATACAAACTATACAAATATGCTGGAACACCGAGATAAAAGACAAAAAAAAAAATACAACCATCAACGCATTTCAAAATTGTTACTTTTTTGTAGCATGTATCATCAAATTGTTATATTAGTGCTACCAGTATTACAACATCAATATTGTAACTTATTTGTAGCATCTTGACTTTTAATTTAATGCAATATTTTGTGATTGCAACATTTAAGTGCATTTTTCACTAACAACTGCAATTAGATTTACATTGTATAGCTAAATCCCACCGGTCACAACATGTTTACTCAATCTGTGACCACACTCAACAAAACTGAATATATGTGAATTCATATATTAATACTACACACCTTAAAGATAGTGTACCAAAAATCTTTGTCATATCTTTATGTTGACATACTTTACTAGTCTTTTGTTTTGGAGCTTTGATGTAGCCATCATCTTCTCAAGGTGCAAACAGGAAGTAAACTGCTTTGATCATGTAACAATTTGCACTGAACGTGTGCAACTGCACATATTTCATTGAGACCCTTTATTTTTTCCATATTTGCAGGAAGTTTTGGAGCTTTGATGTAGCCATCATCTTCTCAAGGTGCAAACAGGAAGTAAACTGCTCTGGTCATGTGACAATCTGCACTAATCATGAGAAACTGCACATATTTAATTGAGACCCTTTATTTTTTCCATATTTGCAGGAAGTGCACTAAAACACCAGTCAGTAAGGTTTTTAGAGCTTTATTAATTAAAACCTTTTTTACAGTCACTATTGTGACTGGTGGGATTAAATGGGTTGTAGGGCCAGTGAAAATATTGGCAGGACAAGTAAAAACCAGAAGTACTGGGTCAACAGAATAAATCTCTTCTGTGTGTTGTTGATGACAGAGACTCACCGTCAGAAGCTGCACCATGTTCACAGGCTGGTGTCCAGCCAGCTCCACCTCAGACTCGGCTTGTGCCTGACTGGACTCCGGCTCTTGAACACCCTTCGTTTAAAACGGAAGGCACAAGCTTTATTAGCATAGCTCTATAAGTTAATAAATATTTTAAAACGATGCAAACGCAAACTTACCTGCGACGGTGGGATGCTATGGGTGGACTGGTTAATCCCCATTGGGGAATTCTCAGCAAACTGAGCGTGGGCAGGCCGGAGGTTTGTATACATGGTTGAATATTCAGTGAAGGAAGCCGCAGTTCCTGCTGGAATCAGCTGAACTCTTTGAGGAGAAGCCATGGGAGGCATTGCACTACGGATCGCCATCATTCCCTCCTTACTGGAAGGTGACTGCGCCCTATTTAGTTCTGATGCTTTCGAGGAGTCCTTCTCAGATACTCCCTTTACTAACAAGTGTGGCCGAGGAGAAAGAGACGCCGCCATTCTGGTAGGAGTCGAGGAGGGTGTTATGTTCTCAGGGACGTGCCCCTGGTGTAACTCCACAGCGGGGCGATCGCTCTGCTGGTGGTGCATGAGCACTCGCATGTCTCGGTTGAATCGATCGAGAGGTAAACCGCTGTGGAGAGCTCCACGATATTCTGCTGGTATGGAGTCTGGTTTGAGTTGAGCAGCCGGCGGTCTTGCATTGGCTGGGTTCACCTTGAGGACCATCTCCCTGTTTCCCACGGCCTGAGGAGATGTGGGTCGCTGCTGGCCAGGAGCCCAAGAGGAGGCGAGGCTCTCAGAGTGAATCCCATAGTTCATCATGGAGAGGGGAGGAGTGTTCACTCGTACCTCACCCTGGGTGAGGTGTCCTAATGCGCTGACGCGGTGTGGCGACATCCTTCCAATGCTACCGTGAGTGTTGTGTGGAGGCATGATCACAGACTGCTCCGAGTGGTGGACCGTGGAAACATACTGGGACAGAGGGTTTAATCCAGGGGGAAGGACCATAGACACACCTTTCGGAGACGAAGAGCCGATAGGAGATGACACTTTGGCAAAAGGAGAATGAGGATGTCCGGATTTCCGTGGAGAGCGCGGCTCCTGCTTGGGTTGAATGAGTGACGGCGTTCGTTCTGTCGCTGTGCCAGTTATGAAGCCAACATGATTGCCTGCTGCCGAGGGAAGATGTGGACTTATAGCAGGACTAATAGTTGGGACCCAAGCAGGTTTCTCCACGTTGAGAGACTCTGGCCCATCACCCTTCTTAGGGTGCTTCATCACCATTGGGTATTCTGTAGGATGGTAACTCATGGCCTGTGATGGGCCAGGCGTTTGCTGCAGTATCTTAACAACTCCACTTTGAACTGGAGCGTAAGCGGATTCTAATTTGTCCAGTGCAGATTCTTGCTTAATCGTGGAGACGTTTGGATGGGGTTTTATTGAATGTCCATGATCTGAAGGAAGTGGGCATTTTGAAGATGGCGGATGGGAGGCACTGTAAAGTTCCTGCTTGATCTGGGGCATTGACACCAGCTGCTGTGACTCTATGTCCACAGCACTGGCAGGTGGGATCTGGCTGATTTTGGCACTTATGCGCAGTGGCCCCTCTATTTTCTGGCCAGAATGACTCAGCACCACCACACCTTCTGACGTCTGAACTCTTAGTCCTGTGCTGGAACCTGTACTCAAAGAAGTACTCTCCACAATATAGCGACCGGCATTTCCACCTTCCTCACCAACTGCTGGACCATGGTACGTACTGCTTTCCTCCAAGCTTGGCTGGTAAATCTGTTTTGGAGGTTGTTTGTCAAGAAAAGGATTTCCAATCTGAGCATTTGGCTTCTCCTCGGAGTCGGGGGGATTGCAAACGCGACTGATGACGGAGGTGGGAGTGGAAGCAATAACTGAAATCACTGACTTCTCACTGAAGATATGTTTAGTTTCTGGGGATGGTATAGAAGCAGGCTGTCGAACTACAGGTTGGGCTGAAATAGGGGGTTGCCTCTTATCTTGAGGAGCACTCTTGCTGGTTACCACATCTGGTGTAGCGACACTTTCCTTTAAAGGATGAGAGTGCATATTCCCGGATGTAGCAGAGATTTCCAACACTGGAACAGTTCTAGGCTTTGTGAGGATTTTGCGCAAATCACCTGAGTTGGCATCATGAGCAGGAGTGTCTGAGGGTAATGTAGGGCTCTCCATCGGGGCTACAGAGGTCAGCGGAGGAGAGAGGACCCCAGCTTCTTTCGGCTGATTGCAACGCTCCGTTGGGGAAACAGAAAGCCTGCTTGGGTATGAGGACACATTCTTGAGACAAGTTCTCGTTGGAGATAGTGAAGGAGAAGTGTTCTTGTATGAATAAGGCTGGTATTTGGATGACGTTGGGCTTCTGCTAATCGCTGGAGAGGATTTTGGGATATCCATCTCAGTTTTAAGAGGCGACTCAGGTTCGTTTGGAATGTCCGTATTAGGAGCTGGTAAACTTCCACCCTGCTTGGAAGAGGAAGTAATGACAACAGCTGTACTTGCTGGTGATCTTTCCGTGGCTGCTGGAAGTTCTGCAGGTACTGACTCCAGTGACTTCACAGGGATATTTTCAGCCTCCAAAACTACGTCTTTGATGGGTTCCTTTTTGCTTCCAGCACCCTTTTGGCCTTTACCCTTCTTTGAAGTTTTTGCTCTGCCTTTACACCCTTTTCTAGGAGTGGTTACGGTCTCCTCCTGAACGACTGCTGTGCTAACACAGGTTTCAGATACTTTTGAACCGGGTCTAAGAGTCTGCACATCAGGATCGGTTTCTACAACAGAGTTCGTGATTTGTTCCGTGTTCTCTGATGTGATGGAATCTATAGCAGCAGCAAGCTCGGTTTCACTAGACGGATTTGCAGGCTTTTCTTCTTCTGACTCGCGCTCTGGTACTTCAGCTGCCAAACGTTGTGCTTTTGTCAGGTTACTTTTAAATGGAAGAGAAGTAGCATCTTCTGTGAGCTTGGCAATATTCTCAACAGCTTGCTCAAGCTCCAACTCTCGAGCCAGCGAAGCTACATGTGGCTCATTGGCTTTTGCTGCAGCAGGCAAAGTCTCGCTTTCACTATTTGCATCATCCATGGCATCATTTTCAAATTGAGCTTCTAGTACCTCATCCTTTGAGGACACACCAGGTGAGCTATTTTTGGGAGACTCATCAGTTCCAGGTTCTTCTTCACTAGTCTGAAGCATTGCCTTTACTTCGGTCACATCAAGACGGATTCTAAGGTTTTTAAGAATGGGAGGGTTTTCTTCAGTAATGAGTTTGGGACTTTCCGAAATTTTCTCCATTTTGTCTCCTTTCTTTCCGATTCCAGATGCTGATGCATTTCCTGGACTGACTCCTTTTTGTGTGGGGGGTGAAAATTTGCCTTTACCCACTTTGGGAAGCCCCTCACTGCTCGTCTCACTGCCATCCAACTCCTTAGACTCGGTTGATTTTGACCGTTCGACTTTGCCCGCTTGTACATCCTCTGCTTGGCGTCGATTCTTAGGGGGGCGTCCCCGTTTCGAGGTTGATGGTGCAGCAACAGCCTCTACATCAGAACCTACATCTCTGTCTACACGCTTCCGTGCACCTCGAGGCGATTCGGCGTCTTTTCCGGGTTGCAGAGCAGTTTCATCTTCAATTGGTGTAGCATAGATAGAACGCACATTTCTACGTCTTGCCCTACCTGACTGTGAATTTTGCTCTGTACATTGCTCCGTTTCTATGCTGTGCACAGGTGACTTACTTAATGACTTTGAATCAGGTGTTGTCTTGAACGCCTCTCCTCTTGGAGAAGATGAACGTTTGAGCTTTTCTTTGTCAATGCGCTCACTTTTGCGGGTGCTTTGTTTGTCTGGGGTAGTTACTGGTGTGGTAGGCGAGGTTTTAGCTCTTTTATTTCTTGACTTTGGAGGGGGTGACACAGCTTCTTCAACTGGATAATTATCAGCACATTTCTGATCATCTGCATTGTTAGATTCAGACTCAGGTGCCGCAGGTGGCTCAGGTTCTTTTTCATGTTGCTCGGCAGGGATATGCGAGAGGGGACTTGGTGATTCAGGAAACTTCACTGGAGGCTCAGCCTCTGGCTGTGCATTATTGGTTGGTGTTTCGTTGCTAACAGAATTTGTTTCTCTCTAGAGAGGGCGTCAGCTTGGACTCTGATGATCTGTCTGGACGATGTCTTTCAGAGAAGGATACTGACGTTGATGGAGCAGGGGAGTTGGGCTTATTTTCACGATCTTCTTCAGAGTCAGAACGCACTTCACCAGGTTCCAAATCAGGCCAAAGCCCATAATCTAAGTACTTCTGATTGAGCCGCCTTTTTTCAGCGCTCCTTGTAAAGTCTGGCAACAAGTCTTGCTTTAGTCGACTCTCCCAGCGTCTTTGCTGCTCATCTTGTAGAGACGTACTCATCTTTGACATCTGCGAGGCGTGCATCCGTTTACCCCCAAGCTCCTGATCTGACGGAGCATTATCCTCAGGTTTCAATGCTTCTTTAACTTCTCTCACAGTCATTTGAGCATGAGGGTCTGCATACTCTTCCTCTCTTTGTTGGGGGGCATGCTGAAACCTTGGAGAGTTTGTGTTATTCCACTCAAGGTCTTCACTCTTTTGCCGGACCGTTCGGTAAATCCTTTCTCTCTTAGCATTCATATCCATCTCGAAGGACTCTTGTTTCTTGATCTTACTTGGAGGTGAATTATCAGTAACATCCTGCGGAGGCTTGCCGACCTCATGCACCAGGCTTCGATGCTCAAGATCTTCTGCATCTACACCTAGAGGAGTTTCTGGCTTTCCTGGTTTATCCAGCGGCTGCAGCTGCTGCCGTAGCCGTCGGTTTTGCTCCATCTGTTTGCGGTAACTCTGAGAAAGGTCAATATTTTCTAGATATTCATCCCTTACTTTATTGTCCTTATCGGATGTTCCATCAGTTGAAAATCGTCTAGATATGCTTGGCCCAGGGTGAGATTTTGAGTCCAAAACATCCACCTCAGGCAATTCACCTGACCTTACCATTGGGCCCTGAGACGTCCCTCTCATAGCGCCATCCAGCTCTTCCCTTTGACTATAATGAGAACCAATCCTGGATTTGGAGTGTTCTCTTTTTTGAGCCTCTTTCTCTGCTTTTACATCAATATCGGTCTCTTTTGCAAATCCCGCACTTGTAGCAAAGTCAGCAGGTAGGCTAATCCCAGAACCTGGATCCTCCTCCAGACGCCCCCGTTTCTGTCGTATCGCTTTCCCGCCGGGATCGCCAAACCGCCTCTTCCTCGCTTCAAGTTTGACAGAATCTACAAGGGAGTCTTTGCCATCACTACCAGAGTCAGATTTTAAATGTTTCTTTGCTTTTCCTTTGCCGTCTCTGTCTAGCGACTCGCTTTTACACTGATCGAGCCGCTCTCCCTTTTGAGACTCAAGGCGAGTTACCTGGTCAGTAGGGGAAGGCTCTTTGTCCCCTTTATGCTTCTGTCGTTCTTGACTCTCCACATCTGAAACCTTAACCTTCCCAGATCCCAAATCCAGGCTAGCCTCTCTATCCGCTTCAGAATGAGGTACGCTGGGAGACTGCACTTTCCCTCTCCTTTGTTTTGCTTTCTCTCCCTTCTCTCTGTCAGCCTTCTCCCTGCGTCTGCCGCGCTTCTTGTTCTCTGCCCCACTGACGCGCTCTGCCTCGGCCTGCTCCATTTCTCTCTCCAGTCCTTCAGATTTGTAATCTACTGGCGATTTCTCAGACTTCTCAAACTGAGCCGGGGGTGGAGACAGCGAGCTGCAGCTTCCCGATCTTTCAGAGGAGTGTCTGAACACGCGTCGTTCGGCGTCTCGTGACACACGGTCCGACGGTGAGGGCGAAGCAGAGGGAGTCGGGGGACGCCGCTGATGAGACGGGCTCCATCGGCCTCGCTCCGCCTCAAAGCGCTCACGCTCCCGTTCACGTTCCCGCTGGATATAGCTGTACTTCCTGATGTCCTCAAAAGGGTCTCGATAGTCTCTGTATTCCCGTGGGTCCTCGTGATAGCGGGGATCGTAGTGCTCTCCTTGATAATCTAACTCTGCATAGCGGTCACGACTGCGACCGGGGTACTCTCGACGGGGGTCTTCAGAGTAAATGGCAGGAGTCCTTACGTTCTCGTAATACGCTCGCTCCGTGGAAAAGTCATAAGGAGTTCTCCGTTCGTCCCTGACAAATGAAACAAGATTTGGTCAGTTTTTAACATACAATATAACCAACTGCTTAAAGATAAGCAAACCATAGGCAAAAAATTATGTACATTTCTATGTTTGTTTTTCCCACTAAAGCAGTGCTCACCTCCGATCTGAAGGAATATCATAAAAATCACGGATGTCCTGCCCTGATGCCTGCATAGATCGATAGAAAGCCATTTGACTCTCCTGACTGGCAAAATCAACCTGGACAGAGGAAACAAACACATTATATAACTGAATCAACACACAAATAGCTATATATACACACATTAGGGCTGGTAAGCGATTACAAATTTCTTAATCTAATTAATGACATGATGTGGCGATTAATTAATCTAATTAATCGCAAATTAATCACACACCAAATTTGGCTGAGAAATTACTCCCAAAAGATCATTTAAAGTCATTGTTGTGTAAAGCATCAAACAGACATTACAAAAAGTAGCTTCAGCAAGAAATATTTTGATTCAACATAAAATTTATTACATATACTCTTTTGGACCATGAGTTAATGATGACAAAATTTAAATTTTTGGGTGGGTGAACTATACCTTTAATAGTTTTTATTATTATTACTATGGAAATATGAAATTATTTCTTTGATGAAATGATACTCTAAATAATAAACTAAAACTGCCAGTAGGTGGTGGTAAATGTCTTAATGATTAAGTCATCGAGTCATTTATTCATTCATTTGATTTGTTCAAATGGCTGATTCATTCAGGAGTGAAGTAAATGGTTCTTTATGAATGGTTCATTGAATCATTAGACTTGAAGCGGATCATCAGCATCAGACCGATCCTAATGATTCACCCAATTCGTTCAAAACGTGCATTAAGAAACGAAATGCAGCTGTGTGTTGCTCGGAGACGAACAGTTCTGCTTTGTCTTTATATTTTCGTCTGCAAAATTGAGCAAAACAGACAAAATTGCATCTAAAATAACACAATATTAACTTCTTCCTTACTGAACTGTTGTATAAGATCAGTATCACATTTGCACTCGTGTGATATTGCACTTATTGCTCGTGTGATATTGCTTAACTATATGATGTAAATACGAGACAAAAAATAACCCTAACATACCTTAATTTTGTTCCCTCCTATCTTCCATCCTTTGGTTTCTCTAACAGCTGCTTGGGCGAAATCAGTGTTGTTGTACAGAATAAGACCCATTCCTTTTAACCTATCAAACACAACCTGTAATAGAAGCCAGAAGTTAGTACAGCTCTAAGCAACACCAGTAAAATCTATATAGCGCACGTCAAACATTTCCACAGACTAGAGATCCTAGAAGTCTACCTTGACCACCGGCCCGTATCGACAGAAGTGTCGTGTGAGGTACTGTTCTGTGATGTTCGAGGTCAGGCCGTCTAACCACACACACGCTGTTGGCATACTCTTCCCAAAGCCAAGCTGTAACACAGCCAGAAATACACATCAGAAACCATCCAGTCTGATTTCACTCGAACATACAATACTGCTCTCATGTACACACAATATAAACATGTTTGATGAGAGTCACATTGGCAAGAACACGCAAGTAATAAGTACCTTCAGTCTGTTGGCGCCGAGATACTCTCCGTCCATTTTCTTAATAGCTTTACAGACACTGGCGATATCAGAGTACTGAACAAATGCGTACTGAGGAACACCGTTCACCCTCTTAATATCAATATCCTGAAATCAACAGAGACAAACACATGCTTTAGAAGATACAGAAACAAATACATTTCCACTCAAAGCACGGTAAGTGATGGAAAATTAGAATTCCCTCGTGCACAGAATTGTTTGGCCCGGTTTTTGGAGTTAAAATGTTACAGAAACCACAACAGACGACAGATCGGATAGCCTAAGAGAAACTTTGGCATTGAGGAAAAAAACTGGTAAAATTAGGCCTGCAACAACGAATCAATCATTAAGCCACAGACTGCAGAATGTTAATCGTGATTAATGTGACATGAGATGGTGTCTCACTTTCTGTATAATCTGAGGCCGTCAGTATCACACTGATACACACTGACACAGGCAGAACTAGCCGTCTACGTGTTTTTAAAATATTAAACATTAGCTGGAGATTTGCATTAGAACAGCAACTTAAAATACTAATTATTACCAACAAAGACTAATTGAACCCTTATAATGCATTCAAAATCTACATTATTTTCACACCCGAAGAATCATTATGAATTTTTAAATTAATACCATATTGTATATCATCGGTAACTTCTCATTATCGAGTGAATGTGAAAAAAAAATTCTGCGTTTTGAATGTTACCACGTTATTACTCTTTTTTTTATTAATTTTTTTTTTTATTGATGCGAAGTTTGATTTGAATACATTTTAATTTATAAGAAAATATAATCTGAAAACTACCGATATTAAGGCTATTGGAATTAATACAATTAAAGAGGTCATATGATGCTGCTAAAAAGAACATTATTTTGTGTATTTGGTGTAATGAAATGTGTTTATGCGGTTTAAGGTTAAAAAAACACATTATTTTCCACATACTGTACATTATTGTTTCTCCTCTATGCCCCGCCTTTTTGAAACGCATACGTGTGACGGAAATGTTACGCCCCTTACCATATTTGGAAACACACAGCATCTCCACGACAACAATACTACAGCGAGAATAAAAGTTACGCCTTCTTTCTTTGCGTGAACATTTGGGCGGCGTTATGCAAATCTTCCCACATCGTGATGTAGACATGTGGGGGCGTGTTAGAACGAGCTGTTTTAGGAAAGAGTGGACGAATCTTAACTTTTATAAAGAATATCTCTTTGGTTTGAGACTTTAGTCTTTGCAACTTTACAGATCTTCTTTATGCACAAACAGCTTGTAACACTCCAAAGAGAAAGCACAACTAGAAATCGCATCATATGACCCCTTTAAATTCCTTTGACTTTACAATTCAAGATTGCTCATAAACATACCAAATTTATAAAACCTACATAGTCATCTCTAACAAAACAACATCAAGATAACAAATATTACTTAAAAAAAAAAAATTTACTTGCATAAACTAACTTTCAGATGAAAAAAATACATAATTTTTTTATGCTGCAATGGTTCATCAATAGATGCACATATTCATGTTCATCAACAGAATTTAGTCCCATAAGTGTGAGAGATACGCGGATATCTAAGACTAAATATTTTACAAAAATTGTTTTAGACTAATATAACTTCATAGAATAATCTTACGAAAAAAAATTTCTGATACCTGGTTAAAATGACCTGAACACAAAACATCACTTTTTAAAATTATTTCTCTCTCTTTAAGAAAGAAAAAGTTAAAACCTTTACTAAAGTACTAAAATCTATGCATTTTAGAAATGCTTAATTATGTCTTCTGGGTGTAAATGGACACAAATGCATTACGAAGGTTAAAACTCAGATTTTCAGTCCAGAAATGTCTTCTCCAAGACTTAATTTCAGCTCATAACCACTAGTACAGATTACAACAAACACGCTAGCTTACCACTATCTCCCCGAAGCGCTGGAAGACGTCGAGTAGCTGCTGGTAGTTGGTGGTCTTCTCCAGGTTTCCGATGAACAGCGTACGAGTGGCCTTCGGGTGAAACTCATCGATGCGTCCGTCCAGGGGACGAAACTCGTTCTCGCTCTCCGTCTCTGTTGGAGGCAAACAGGTCAGGATTTAGCATCGAAGCACAGCGAGCGCTAGAGTGTGATGCACTGATCTTCGGCAGACACCCACCGGGGCCGTTCCAGACCGTGACCTCGATCAGCATCCCGAAGAAGAGCTTCCCCTTGGACACGCCGAGGGCCTTCTCCTGGTCCTCCTGCTGTCTGAAGAACACCAGGCCGTAGCGCTCCTCCGACGCGCCGTGGATCTGCACCGACGTCACTTTACCGTACTTCTTAAACTCGTGAAAGAGCCCGTCTTTCAAACTCGTATCTGAGGAGAGTAAAGCACAGATGCTTCAGCGCTCAGAGACGGACTGCCTAAAATCTCTTACGGACGTCTGCTTTAAATGATTAACACTTTACATTAACATCATAAAAGGACTTGTCAGAAATCCAATCACGTATGTTTGGAGATGAAAAGCAATATCAGTATCCCTGATTAAAATTAAAGGGTTAGTTCAGGGCAAAATTTACTTTCTGTCATTATTTACTTTGCTCATTTGTTGCTGGTGACCTAAATCTAAGGTCTTGGGAAGCATGTTTACGGTTTGATATCTGAAGAATTATAATGGCCAGTCTCATAGAAATTGGTGGAAACGTGCACAAACTTGTTCCCTTCAAGTTCAAATGAGTCAAGAGTCTCCTCGGGTGCAGATATTTGGAAAAACTTGAAAATTTGACACGTGGGTTGTTTGGTGGCCTTTAACGGTTAGTTCAGCCCAAAAGGAAAATTCTGTCATCATTTACTATGCTTCCATACTAAGTTATGAATTAAACTTGTGCGCAAAATTGGAATAGAGCATTAAATATTTGTGAATAAAGCACTGCTTCCATCCAGTGCGATGAAGAGAACAAAAGAGTCACTTCCTGATTAACTTGCGCTAAATATCACGAAGAAAAATTTAATTTGCTGCAGTAGGAGAAGGCACTGTATATAATCATTTTTTAAAATAAATGATATATAACTATATGTAACCGTATATAATTATATATAACAATACAAAACAAGCTTCAGAGCACGCAGATGAAACGCGGTCATGTTAAGGCTGCCCTCGACTGGAGATTTTTCCGGTCGACTAGTAGTCGTTCATTTGAAGCATTAGTCGACTAAACGCACGTTTATTAATAAACCATTTAAATCATAATAATGTGCCTTTAATTGCCTACATTGCCTAATAAGCGCTCAAGCGAACGCATAACGCTTGCCACAGCACACCGCCAGAAGCTATGATTATGAATGTGTCAGCGAAAAACAGTAAGGAGGCTGCATTAGCATTTTAATAATTTATTGCTAAACTAGTGCTTTGTTCTCGGTTTAAGAGATGAACTCGGCGACACTGACTCATCTCCGCAGTAGGATGCACCTGTATGCATGTTTCATACGGATTATGTAATCTGAGAATATCCGTTTTCCATTTGAATTAGTTCATTTGAATTAGACATGTCGCTCTCTACAGATATATTTTTTTCGACTAAGTGCCTAATAAGATTTTGGTCGACCAAGCCTCTTCTGGTTGCCTAACGGTTAGTCGACTATTAGAGGGCAGCCCTAGGTCATGTTTTCATCTTGCTGGATGACGGACCATCACCTTCAACTCAACCTGGCTAAGACAGAACTGCTTATGGTTTCAACAAACCCATCGTTTCATCACAATTTCACCATCCAGTTAGGCTCATCAACCATAACTCCTTCA